TTAAAACATCCCTCCCTGTCGCCTGTCTTTCCACCTTCTTTTCTTTCTTTTCACTTAGCAAACACAGTGAGTTTTTATCATTTTTCCCTTGATTCTGTACATGGATAGGACTGCAGAGAAACCACTGCTCTGTGGCATGGGCAGCCTCATCCGTCCTCCCCGTCCTAACCCCGACGGGCTGTCCTCCAGGATTGCGGCACCAGAATCAAGGAGTTGATTCATAGTATTCTAAAAATAATGTTCATATAATATTAAGCATTAACTTTCCTAGTTTAAGTAATTTTTATAAAACAGAAAAATAAAAATAAAAAATTATTTTAGAATAAAAAATTAATAAATTCTTTAGAATTGTGCACACTTTAATGTTTCTATTATTATATATATTTTTGGTATCAGAATTGCACAGGGATCACAATATTTTCTTGCTGCTAAGAGATATCCATAGGCACTTAATTATTTATTTAAATAATCTACAAAATGGAACATAAGCATAAAATATTGAAATTATCTATTTGAAATGCTAACAATTTTTTTAAAAGACAACATATAGCAAAGAAAAACTAAACTGGTATACCTTAATTCTACAAAAATGTATAAATATTTAAACTTGTAGCAAAAGAACAATTATACCATTTAGTAATGCTTACAATATTTAAAATGTTTAATTCCTTATGCACAATCTATGTTAAAGAACTGTGTGTCAAGCATATATCTAAAACATTTTTGAAATTATTTTCTTTTATTTGTGGCTGTGTTCACCAAACAAATCCAAACACTCCAAAAAATGTTATCGAGTCCCCTTTTTCTGCTTGTGCTATTTTTAGCTGAAAGTACAACTGAAACCAAGCAACAGTTTATGTTCATTTCTACACCAAATTAAATGCATGATAAAAACCTCATTTTTAACCATTATAGATACAGCCTTCATCATCCAACTCCCTATCCTCATTCTTACTCATTAGAAACAGAACAGTACCTGTGATTTGTTCTCCTTCATGAAAAACAAAAACAAAAAGGGTAACTTTATGGAATGATGAAATGAGGATAATAGAAGTGATCTTTGTCTTAAAATACAGTTAACCAGAAAGCTGCCCTGCATCACTAGTATTTTAGAAGGTTTTTTTAAACAAATACAATGAAAACTGCCTTTAGAATTTATTGAACAATATGAAGCAAAAGTTGGACACAAATTTACACAAACTAAAACACATTGCTGGTGTTCATTTAACACCTTAAATCCACACAATAGCTTATATTTAATAGCAGTTTGAACATGATGTAGTCACACCAGATATGTTCATGTGCTGTACAGAAAAGATTGCCTTTCTCTGTTCCGTATTTTGACATATTGGAGAAAAATTGTGGGTAGCAGCTAAATCCTGAAACACAAGCTGCCTTGAGACTTAATTGAATTTTTGCTGCCCATCCAAATTGGAAATTTACTCAAGATCTGCAAGTATCAGCTATGCAGAAAGACAGCTTGTGGATGATGACACATACTTGGAGGTCTTGCATTTCTTTCTATTTGTTAAGTTAGCATACTTACTAAGTTGAGAATGCACACAAGTTTGGCTTCCTCTGATACTAGGTGTAGCATCTATAAATGAGATGCAAGTGGCATGGTTGTGATCAGGTAAGATAATCAATTCTTAAGTGACAGTGTAGGGGGGTACCAATATTTTGAGGTTACTTGAACCTATTTGTACTATGCTCTCAAACTCTCATCAAATAAAAATTAAAAAGGGTCATGGTTCTTGTTGTTTTATTGTTTGATTTCTCTCCCCCCATCTCTCTCTCTCACTTCTCTGCATCTCCCCGAAACCCTCGTCTATTAGGTTTTTCTAAGCATCATGGAAAAATTGAATTCATGGGTTGTGTGTGTGAGAGTCTAAAGAGTTCCACTGGGAAACCTAGAAATCTCTGCTGATTACGCTGCAGTTTTTTAAAGCCAAATAACCTAGAACCTACACAGTGTTTACGGTAACAGATGATCTAATTTTCAGTGTGAGCTGTGAGCCAATCTTACTTTTAACTTGAATATAATCATAAGAAAATGGAAATAGGGGAGAGTGTGCTCCCTTGTTTACTGCTGAAAAGGCCTTGCTTCTCTAAAACACTGTTTTCCAATAATGCCGCAATGGTCAGTAATGGGGCTGTTTCCTGTTAATTTCTTTATTTTTGCTGCAGGTCTTTATTTATTGCCTGTGATAGTATTTTATAGAACTAACTTTATTTGTGTATGAAAGGTACTGAGAAGTTACATTTCCAAAGCTAATTATCTGTAAAGAAGAGAAGTTAATGTTTCTAAAGAATCAATGCACTTATTATAAAATGCTTAATAAAGACATTAATCTCATGATTGTGCCCTTTCTATTATATTTTTGAGTGCTTTGTAGTTGAAGATGGTGTTAGGCTACAGTATTAACAATGATGAGTCCTGACATCAGAGCCGACAGCTGTATGACCTTTGGGCAAGCCTAATTACGTATCTGGGTCCCTGTCCTACCTTCTATAAGCAGAGAAACTGAGAATAAATCACTTGTGGGTTGTTTTTAAGTTTCTTTGTTCATAGACTTGCACTTAGAAAATAAATTTCGTGATGGCTCCTGTGAAACCACAAAAATACAGAGGATTTTTCAGAAAATGATATGTCTCCCCTCTAATAGTAAAAATCTTATTTATACCATTAGATGGTCATTAAATCCAACCAAAAAATAAAATTATTTTTTTCTTAATAAAGCAATTTAGGTAATGTAGTAGCATGTTTATAAAATGTCATGTTTCATTTCCATAAGGAAGGATAGTCTATCATAGAGAACAAACTAGAACCCATACTTAAATGTGAAGAGTATTAGGAAGAAAATTATCATTTGGAGATAGTTATGTACATACTGTCTAAATATACTACTAGCATTTATTTTGAAATTTAAAATATTGTGCAAAAAAGTATGATATAGTATCGCTCAGCAACTTTAACACACAATTTTTCAGCTAACTCAAAAAATAATTGCAGAAAACTTACTATGTGCCAATGACTCTACACAACACTGAAGGTAACACAGTGAAAAATGCTGATAAAGTCCCACCTCTTACGGGGCCTACATTCTCCAGTGTGTGATGGTGGTATTGAGGGTGAGGAAGTGAGAGGGTAGGCAAAAAAATAAAGAAGTTTATACTTCGTCAGAGAATGTGCAGGGCATAATGAGGGCAAGAGGGGAAGGGTTTGCCTTTCTGATGAGATAAAATTTGAGTAAAGCCCTAAAAGAAAGGGAGTGAGAGCTCTGCGGGGCAAAGGGAACAAAAACGTAGGACAGAAACTTGCTCATCAGCCAGAGAGAAATAAATGCTCAGGAACATGTGTGTGATTGTGCCCGCAGTGGTGTCATTCCTGAAACAGATTGTATTAAAGAGTTCTTGTGTGTTTCAGCTTTTAAAATTTAAGGACAAATGTGCAGGGACATTTTCCCATAATTTAGTCAGGGCAAGAGGAAACAGAGAGAAAAGGAGAGTCCTCAGCTGACTTGTGAGTCCACTATCAATTTAAGGCCATGGTTTGCTAGCTCTTGGGTGTCACAGCCTCCTTATCATTTGGCTATAAACAATGGATTTTCTACTTAAAAAATGCCTTTCAAAAACTTCTGCTTATAATTTTAAGACATTCAGGGATACCCAGAGACCTCAAGGTGAGGCATGCCTACACTTTAAGAAGTAAACTTGAAATGCTCCGGGTTGTAGGTTCTTTCTTTGAGTTTTACCAGTATAAAGCCGAAAAGGAAAGGAAGTAATGCTAGCAGGGGAAATCATACAAGATTCTACTGGCCTTTCTTTTCATTAGAAAGGTGTATGTGTGTGTGTGTGTGCGTGCGTGCGTGTGTGTGTGTAAGAGGGGGAGAGAGAGAAACATGGAGGAGTTCGTTTTCAAGAAAACGAAGACTCAGAGCTTTTTAAGAAAAAGTGAGAGTCAAAGACATGGCATCTATTTTACATGATGCTTCTTCCATTTCTTCCCCTAGATTTCTCTTAGCTGCTAAATCTATTTATTAATGAATAAAATACATATGTAGAGCAAATTTAAAGCCATTGTGAATAGTATGAAATACTAAAAGTTATTAGCTCAATTCCCACTGATAAAGTTTTCTTCTTTTGTATGTCTTCTGCTCATGTATTTTGAACACAAAGGGTTTTAGGATGGAGAGAGAACATGTGAAGCTAGCCCTGTTATGACTGTGTTCCTTGAGCCATAGTTTATGGCAAATGATATCTAGCAGTTTATTTAAATGTTTCATGGATGTGTATTGAGTTCATTCCTGATGATGAAAACTTCAGCTATTCAAGCATAACAATAAAATTCTGATAGCAATGCATTATTTTCGATATGTAAAATAAAAATATCAATAGATACCTAACTAAACACTTTAAATGCAGGATAATTAAAAGTCAGGGCTTATCCTCTCCACCCTTTAGCTACAATTCTGTACAGCAAAAGTGACGAGTCTCCATCTGGAGTGAAGAGAAAAGGGGCTGTGTAAGACAAAGACAGTGCTTAAGGATTGGTTTTCTAACATCCACCCTGGACCCAATATGGTTGTTAAGCCCTCAACCTGTGTTAGGACTAATTGTGACCTGAACAGAATCTTTAGAACGATTCGGTCGCTGCCGTTTGACTCCAGTCGTCTTGCTCCCCTCAACACCTGGCTTGTTTCTTTTGATTTCATGTCCTTTAAATTGACTTTTCAAATTCTTCTCCTCTTTTTTTTCTTGTTTAAATGTGATACTTTTAGAACTCTGTAAATCAACATCCAGTGTAGTTTCTTCTGGTGCAAAACTTGGAACTAATTTTGTGTGACGAATTCATTGTTCCGAGATAATTCAACATGTGACCTGCTGTCCACATAGACATGTAACATGTTTCCATGAAGGTCCAGCAGAAGCAGAGTGAGTTTATAAAATGAGACCGTTTCATAGTGAAGATATTTTATAAGGCATTTACAGTGTCTCTCAATCACTATGAAAATAAAAAATAAAAATAACCCTCCCCAACAATCCTGTGACATGAGGACAATACAGATTGTTTCTTAAAGCAAACACTTTGTTTTTTAAGTTTTCAGATGTTTAATAACACTTTGCTGTTATTTATATTTTATGTGCTTTTGATCAGATACAAATTTTTGTAAGGAAATAAGCAAACGTTCCTAAAAATGAATTATAAACAACTGTGTTTTAGAATACTAAAAGGATTTTAAAACGTTCAATTCAGCAAAGTTAATATTTTTCCTTAATTGAAATAATGGAAAAACAGAAGTGTAGACACTTTGATGGCTTGGGGGAAATGGTCTTCACGCCCCCAAAGTCATGTTTCTCAGCAGCCACTGCTGGGACCTGCTCCCACTGCAGTCCTGCATGGTGGGCACCATTTTGTCCTCCTCAGAAGGTTGGTCCAGACATTGGTTGCTGTTAACATGTCTCAAGGTGAGTCTCTGTAAAAGACAACCAATAATCAGCACAAATATTTTATCTCTAACTTCACTAGTGCATCAGATTAAATCAGTTCTTTGAAAAAAACTTTATGTTTTTTTAGTATAAATATTGTAATATGTAAAAGGAACTGTGCAGGTGGTGCTAATTACTATATGACTTTCACTGTTACAGTTTCATCACTGTCTAATGCACCTTTATGTGCAGATGGTTAAAGAAACTGGCCCAAATATGCTATGCATTGCTGAGAATTCAGATCCTTTGCAGAAAGCCCATTTGTGAGCTCTGAATTCAGTCAAGGGCTGTAAATATTAACAGGCTTTCACAAAGGCTTAGTTTACTTAGACATGCGTTATTCAGTAACCAGTAGGTAAACAGGCTAGGAGATGTCACAGCTGTGACCCAAAGGAAAAAAAACTGCTAGAGATGCTTCCATTTCTAAATACTAAACAAGCCATAGTATCTGTGACAGAATTCACCACAGAAGAGCAATTATCATAGCAAAGATCTGTCTTACTTAACATTATGCTCACCATAATTTAGTTTGCATTTCTAAGAATCTTTAAAAAAATCAATATCAAATGAAAACAGGGATGTCATAGTCATATATTTTAAATGCACATCTCTATTTTATTTTCTTCATAACAATATTCATTAGAAAGCATTATCTCAGTACCCAAATTCTGAAATGTAATTCCAAAAATTTCATGTTAACAGGTCATTACACATCCTGTCTTCTGAGTTCACATTTACATTTTGCAGTTATGTATTTTTGACTTTATAGGTATACATTTTAAGTCCACATGCTATATACTAATCTATGCACATTGATTATGTACATTTTTGCTCAGTTTCAAGGCCAGTGCCTAGACTCATGCTACATAAAACAAACTTCCCAAACAGAAGTATCTGAACACATAGGAAATGATTTGCAGGTATATCTTGAAAAAAGCATGCCATATAGTTTTATTTTGAATCATCAAAATTAACAGCAGACAATTTTGGGAGATTTCATGATATTACAATTGAAAACTGGATGAAAGAATGCAGGGAGAATTCAATAAACTGGTGGAGAAGCGCTGCCTAGACAATTGTAGTATTTTTGATTAGGCCTGCAAACACCCTAGACTGCACTGTCCTGAGAAAAGATGGAGGGGAGAACAGGCTTATAGAGGAGAATGCTTAATGGACAAGAAGCAGGAAATTAAAAGAGCTATGTTGTCAGATGTGAAGATACAAGAATGGGGCTTTCGTTGTTGCTCTTTCAATACACAGCAGCAAGCTATTTATACTAAAAAATGGAGGGAAAAAATGGCCAAAGATAGGCAAAAAGGTAGTTGACTCTTACTTATGATGCCAGAAATTATGTCATTGGCTGATGAATCAATAGCCAACTTGAAAAAAATTCAAAACAAAAACAAATTTTTTTCTAGAAAGTTTTAAATAAAATCAACAAAATATTCATCATTTTTGTTATATACCTGAGGTCCTTTGTGTATATACTTTTTTCAAAAAAGCTACTTATCTTTCCTTGCTTCTGATATATCCTTTTTACAAAAATGTATATGACTTTAAAGATCAAATTAAATGTACTGTCAATGACTTAAACAGGAATACATTTAAAATAGTAATGTTGTTCTAAAAATGCATAAATATTTCCTTCTATGAAATTCATTAATTATCAAAAGCCACAACTGCCAAGATAACATCCAATCAACCAAAACTCTCGTTTTTAATGTTGGACTGTTTTTACATTTTAGGATCAGACAGCCCTAAGTATAAATTCCTATGATTTCCACTCCCCACTCACTGGTTGTGAAAACTTGGGCAAGTTATGAAATTATTCTGAGCTATCAGATTCTTTGTCAGAAAATGCTCAGTTAAAATTATGAATAATTAAAAATGCCCCTTCCTTTTCTGCTTAAAAAATTTGACGTTCCATCTACTATCTAACTGGGATCCCTTGGTAACCTGATAAGGGGAAAATCTATATTTCCAGGCAACATAACTTATGGTAAAGACTGTATCTGTATCAAATTAACTTCATTGTAAATACCTGATAGGAAGCCAAACTGTGGGCTTCACTAAGTGCAAAGACTTGGAGTTTTGCATGTTGCACTGGTTTACTTGAAGCTCTGCCTAGGGAGTGGTTACAGATATACCATCTCCTGTGACGCAGAAGGCCCTTAACCGGGCTGTTTTCCAGGCCTGCCTCACGTGGCCCTCATCTGCTCACACAGGTCTGGAGAAGCCTGCTCCCATAAGGCGGTATGAACTGCTTCAGGGAGTGATGCAAATTCTGCCCAGAGAAACAGGTTGTTGTGCCTGTCCTAGAATTCTGTAAGCAGACCTGGGAGATTAAATGTTTAAGTGTGAGACGGCCCCTGCTGGCCACTGCATCTCCCAGGTAAGGTTGCTTTGAAATTAAACTAAGGCAATATATGAGGTATGTAAATTGCTAGAGATCCAAGTTCTCATTGTGTAAAAGGTCCAGACTTTTACAGCTTCCCAATGCATGTTTAGAATGCCTTTGTCTGAAATGGTGTTCTGATCTAAATACCAACCCCCCTCTCCTCTCCATACGTCCTTCCCAGCCTTGTCATAACCATTCCCAGCTCAACTGTGTCCTCTTTAACTAGTTCAGTTGATGCAGAAAAACTCCCTAACATTCCTGTGTTCTCATAACAAGGTATTGGAAATGTAACATATTTTATTTACAGGACATAAATCCCTTAAGATTAAGAACTAGGACATGTTAACTGCACACTTTACAAGAATCCATACTAGTTTTCTTTAAACTTAAACTGAGTTTTAAGTTTAATAAAATTCATTTATTAAAATAAAAATCCCTTCATTGCTCACTGTATGATTATTCATAAAATCATACAAGTGAGAGAGAAAAGGTACAATTTCTTAAACATTTTTTATTATATCACTTAAACCAAAAATCCTAATCTACAATAAATGCATTCGATTTAAGTTTCAGCCTAAAGAAATAAGTTCCAGAAAGGGTATGTTACAGCTTCACACAACCAAAGTATATGAATTAAAATTAATAAAATTAAACCATTTCAATGTTCCAAAAGAAACCATTTTTTGGTTATGTTAATTTTCTTACTGATTTTATTGATCTCTAATGCAAAATCTATTGTCATATAGATGGGGGTGTAGTTAGCATTAGTGTAAAAAGAGAGCTACTATGTAGTAATACATTCCATCAATTATATTTATATATATATTTGAAATAAAGAAAAAACTGGAAAATACCTGTTCGTTAAATATAGAATAATGACTACTGAATATTGGCACACCCCAAATTAACGAGCAGCTAAGAAGTAAAAGACAGAAAAATAACTCCACGGACAAACGGCACGTAAAGATTTTTTAAACCACATTTAAAGAAGTAAGTTTCTAGATTCCAGTAACAAAACATAAAAATACTAAACTAATATTAATAAAATCTGAAACACAAACCTCTAAAAGTTATTAGAGAATGTAATCAGTAGGATTCTCAAAAATATTTCTAAACACTTCCACTCTTGTGTAGTTTCTCAGCAGCCATTTCTGCCAAGTGCCGCTGCCACACGCCTCCACAGCGGGCTGCTGGGAGCCAGCAGCTACTTTGCTTACTGAGAGGCAGGACTGGGTGTTTATGTGAAGAAAAGTTTGGGTCTGTTTGACAAAGAAAATAGTGAATAATGACAAAATCAAGCACAAAGGCAGTAATCAATCAATCATTCTCGACAACATACAATTTCTACTGGATGAGAATGGAAGGCACACATCACAATAACTGCATCCGTGGAGCTGTGCACCACAGCCCTTTAGATGGCTTTAATATCAAGTGTATTTGGCGGGAGTAAGTAAAGATAGAACTGAGAATAAGGAGAAGAGCCTGAGATCAAACATGAAAAATTCACAAGAAAAGGTTATAGTCTCAGTGCCCATTCTAGTAATTAAATATTTTTACTGCTACATGCCAATTTTGTGAGTATGGATATTTAAAACCACTGTGTAGTCCACAGAGTTTTCAGTCATGGTCTTTGGCCTGCTTTTTCCTTTGCCCTAAACTTGAGTGGATGCCAGGGCAAGATCTGGGGGATCTTTTGGTGTTAATGCTTTCCTTTACTTTTTACTCAAATTGTTTCCACCATGTTTTCACAGGGCTGACCTGGTGATGTTAAAAGTGTTCCACATATATGTTGGCACATTCATCTAACTGTCAATTAGCAAGTTAATGAAGGAAAGAAAAAGAAAAAGACTGACCCCCTGGGGCTCTTAATTTGACTTTATTCTCCAAACACGATTTGTGATTAATTTGTCTGTTTCTTGTTTTCCATTTATTTCCTCAGAAGGAGCGTAGCTCCAGGGAGACGAGGGACCATGACCACCTACGTCACCAAGCCCAGTGCCTGCACATAGGAGGCATTCTCTAAGGTCGTTGAGGAAACCAATCAGTGAAACGCTAAGGCAGAAAATAAATTTTGATAAAATTAGCTACATTTCTTGGACAGCTTAATGGACACAATCAATGGATTTTTCCATTTCAAGGACTGACTTTCTACAGGTAAATGGTAAGGGATCTATAAAGGCAGAAATGTAATAATAGAACATGAATCCCATGTAAAATTTTTCAAAAAATATTTTTGTAATCTCTCCACAAAATATTTCTCCATAAATGATCATTAAAACATTTCATAGAGCTTTAACTCCAGGTACTTCTAAAATGTTTATGTATACTCTCCAAGTGCTTCTAAGAAAAATTAGAAATCTCATACAACCACAGTGAGATAAAAATTATTTTTTATTTTAAGAAACCCAACAAAACTGCCAGTGTTTTCATTTGTTTGAGCAGTAGCATAGTTTATTTTTCTGCATATTTTGCCTAAAAGAGATATTAATTATTATTTAATGTTTTCTAACAATTCTACCACTTATGTCATGCAAATTTATGTAATAGAGTTCACCTAATTAAATGCCCTTCGATTTAGATTGTGGACAT